GCCCGGGAGGATGAGCATTCCCCTGAGGCCAGTATTGATTCCCCAGTACCACGCTGTTCATTTTCCCGGGGGGGGGGGGGGTGTTTGGGTGGCGCGTGTGCACTCTCCGGGAGTCCCCAAGCCCCAAGCCCCCCGCCCCAGGGGTGGGGAGCGGGGGTGGTCGGGGCCTATGTGCGTGGCGTGTGTGCGGGGGTCCGCCGCCATCCGTGACAATGACCCAAGAAGCGACGGAGTTCAATTATTAAATGGGAGATGGCCCTGGGGGGGGGGGGGGGGGGGGGGGTGTTTGGGTCAGAACACATGTCGGCTGGAGGGGAGGAGCCGGCGCAAAAGGACCGCGCAAGGGAGGAGGGCAGCCACACGCGAGGCACGGGGCACGCACGCTGCCAGGAGCCAAAGTCCCAGCGCTGGCGGAAGGCACACTCCGGGGCGCCGCGCGAAAAGAGAGTGACCATGGCGTCCGGGCCCTGGGCGGCGGGGTCCTCCTCGTCGAAGCCCGGCTGCTTGAAGTGCGGATCGGCCAGATCGCCACCGGCCCCGGGGGCCGCCGCCATGCCGCCGAGGGACAACGAGCCGGCCTCGCTGGGCAGGGGGAGGTAGAGCACGGCGCGGGTCACATGGCGCAGGGCCAGGGCAATGCGACAGCGAAGGGACTGCTCGGACACATGCCACACCAGGTAGCTGTGGTCGGCGGTGTGGTCGGTCACCATGGGGAAGACCGTGGACGCGGCGAGATCGCACTTGCAGATGCACTGGTCGGGGCTGAGGGTGGTCAAGTGGGGGTTATTGTGCTCGTCGTGCACGGTGGAGGTGCAGGTACAGCCGCCGCCCTGGCGAATGCGGTCCCACGTGCCGACCTTCAGCCGGCGAACACTCAGTGGCAGGCCGTTGAATGTCTGGGGGGTGGGCTGTTGCGGGATGCCGGAAGCACCGGTCGGGGCGGTGGCGGCCGGGACGCCGGTGGCCGCGGCCAGGAGCCCGGCCGCGCCCAGGGGGAAGTCCCCGCCGGCGGCGGCAAGCAGGCCGCCGACGCCGACGCCGGCAGCCGCGGCAGCTGCGGCGGCCGCCGCCGCCGCCGCCGCCGTGGCAGTGGCCGTACTACTACTGCCCGAGGGATGCATGCCTGTGAAGGGAGCCCCGCCGGGGCCCATCTGCAGGGGCTGCAGGCCGAAGCCAGGCCCGCCGGGGGGGCCGGCATTGACGAGACCGGTGGCCAGGCCGCCGGTGCCGGTGGGGTCGGCACCGGCGAGGAGCCCGACCCCGGCCGCACCATGGGCCGCGGTCCCGTTGAGCAGGTGGTAGGTGGCCGTGCCGCCGGCGTGGGACAATTGGTAGGCCATGGTGGCCGGCGGGCCGTAGGCGCCGGCCTGCTGCTGCAGGGCAGCGGCCGCGGCCGAGTGGTGATGGAAGGCCCCATGGGCATGGGCATGGGCGTGGCCATGGGCGTGGCCACCTGCGCCGGGGAGGCCGCCGGAGGCGAGCGCCATGGCGGTCGGGTCGGCGGCCGATCGCCGGCTGATGTTCTTGACCTTGGCGCGGCGGTTCTGGAACCAAACCTGCACCGCGCGCGGGGGCATGTCAATCCGCGAGGCGAGGGCCGCACGGAGGGCCGCATTCGGGGTGGTGGTGGTGTGGGTGAAAATTTGCTCGAGCACCAGGAGCTGGGCCGGGGTGGTGCGGTGGCGCTTGCGCGGGGCTGCGCACGCGTGTGTGTGCGTGTGTGTGTGTGTGTGTGTGGAGGGAGGGAGGGAGGGAGGGAGGGAGGGAGGGAGGGAGCCGGGTAAGTGACCATGGCGAGAACAGACAGAGGGGGAGGGGGCGGGTCAGGGGCGCACCGTTGCGGCCGGACCGGCGTGCATCCGACAGGTTGGGCGTGGACTTGGACCGCTGCATGGAGTGCGCCTTGAGGCTGGAGCCCGGGGCGTCCAGGGGGGAGGGGCCGTCGTCGGTTTCGTCGTCGCCCTCATCGTCGCCCTCATCGTCGGGATCATTGGGGCGGCCGGCGCCGGGGCGACTGCCGAAGCCGGAGAACTTCCCCCCGGCGCCGACGATCTGGTGCGCCGAGTAGCTGGGGCCATGGGCCGGGGCCTGGTGTGAGTGGGAGATCTGGTGCTGGCCGCCGCTGTGAGGGGACTGTTGCTGCTGGTGGTATTGCTGCTGCTGCTGCTGCTGCTGCGACTGGGAGTGCGTCCCGGTTCGGGTGCCCGGGGCCGGGGGGGGCATGCCGGTGTCGGACTTGCCGCCGTCGGTGACGATCGGGCGCAGGGCCCCGGGCGCCGGGGCACCATGGTGGGGGCCATGGTGCGAGAGCATGCCGGGGGTGGCGTAGGAGGCGGTGGGTGGCTGGGAGGGGCCGGCCGGGCCGGGCCCACCGGCGGACAGCATGGTGCCCCCTGCTGTGGCGGAGAGGATGGTGCCGTTGGAGCCGGTGGCGCTGGCGGCGCCCGTGTCCCCGGCGGTCAGGGATCCGGTGGACTCCTCGGCGCCCGATGCGGACATCGGCATGAGACCGGTGGAGGGCATCTGGAGGGGTGTGCAGGTGCGTGTCGAGTGGAGCAGGGTC